GGATTGATTCTGGAGCCACCCACTATGTTTGTGCTGTTAAAAAATCATTTTCTTCATATGCTCCCGCTGGATCCGACGAGACCATTTTTATGGAAAATTCTGCAACGGTCAAAATTGAAGGTTATGGAACGATATTCCTGAAGATAACCTCTGGCAAGGTGGTGACTCTGAACAACGTTTTTCATGTTCCTGAAATAAGGAAGAACTAAGTTTCTATTTCTCTTCTCGTCAATAACAGGTTTAAGTGTGTTTCTGTTTCAGACAAAGTTGTAGTAAGTAAGAATAAGATGTACTTAGGAAAATGGTACATTACTGAGGGCCTTTTCAATATGAATGTAATGGTTGTTGACAATAATAAAATTTCAGTTTCTTCTTACTTACTTGAGTCAAATGATTTATGGCATATACGTTTGGGACATGTCAATTATAAAACTTTGCGAAAAATGATTAATTTGGAAGTATTGCCTAAATTTGAATGCGACAAATCAAAATGTCAAATATGTGCGGAATCTATGTATGTTAAACATCCTTATAAGTCACTTGAAAGGAATTCAAATCCTTTAGACTTAATTCACACAGATATTTGCGACATGAAGTCAATACCATCTCGCGATGGAAAGGAGTATTTCATAACTTTTATTGACGACAATATTCGATATTGCTATGTTTACTTACGTAATAGTAAAGATGAAGCAATAGATGCATTCAAGAAATACAAAAATAAAGTTGAAACGCAACTTAACAAGAGAATCAAAGTGATAAGAAGTGATAGGGGTGGTGAATACGAATCTACTTTTGAAGAAATATGTTTAGAATGTGAAATTATTCATCAAACAACGATCCCTTACACGCCCCAATCTAATGTAATTGCGGAAAGAAAGAATCGATCATTAAAAGAGATGATGAACGCGTTGTTGATAAGTTTTGGTTTGCCACACAACTTGTGGGGGTAAGCTATTCTTACAGCTAACCGGATACTAAACCGAGTAACTCATAGCAAAATACAATCTATTCCATATGAAAAATGGAAAGAAAGGAAGCCCAACTTGAATTATTTTTAAGTGTGAGGGTGTTTGACACAAGTGCAAATTCCTAAACCCAAACGGGTAAAGATAGGACCGAAAACCATTCATTGTATTTTCATAGGATATGCAACCAATAGTAAAGCATATCGATTTCTGGTTCATAAATAAGAAAATCCCGACATTCATAATAATACGGTTATAAGATCAGATAATGTTGATTTCTTTGAAAATCTATATCCGTATAAAAATAAATGTGAGTCGATTGGTGAAAGATCTAAATGACCTGGAAGAAACAAAAGAAAGTACGTATAATCAGGAGGATCCAAGACGTAGTAAACGTCAAAGAACATCTACTTCATTTGGACCAGATTTTGTGACTTTCTTATTGGAAAATGAGCCTCGAATATTTAAAGAAGCTATGTCTTCTTCCGAATCATTATTTTTGAAAGAGGCAGTCAATAGAGAAATAGAATCCATACTGAACAATAATACATGTGAATTGGTTGATCTTACTCCAGGAAATAAACCGTTGGGTTCTAAATGGATTTTTAAGAGGAAAATGAAAGATGATGGTACTATTGACAAATATAAGGCAAGACTTGTAGTCAAAGGGTATAGACAACGAGAAGGTATTGATTATTTTGATATGTACTTTTCAGTTACAAGAATTGCGTCCATACGAACATTAGTAGCATTAGCTGATGTATATAGTCTTGATATTCACCAAATGGACGGTAATAATGGCCTTCTTAAATGGAGATTTAGAGAAAGAAATTTACATGGAACAACCCTTCAGGTTGTTCCAGGTAAAGAAAAGAATGTATGTAGACTTGTTAAGTTGCTTTACGGACTAAAACAAGCACCCAAACAATGGCATGCAAAATTTGACCAAACAATGTTATCAAATGGTTTTAAGATAAATGAATGTGATAAATGTGTGTACATTAAAACAGTTTCAAATCACATAGTCATTGTTTGCTTATATGTGGATGATATACTGATAATGAGTAATGACATTGCCACCATAAATGCGACTAAGTGTATGCTAACTAGCAAGTTTGATATGAAAGACTTGGAATTTGCCAATTTAATTTTGGGTATTAAGATCCGTAAGACTCCTCAAGGTCTGGCATTGTCGCTATCTCATTATATTAAATCAGTACTTGAAAAATTAAAGCGCTTAGAATTTAAAGTTGCAAAGACTCCAATTGACATGAATCTTGCACTTGCAAAGAACAAATGCCAAAGCATATCACAATTGGATTATGCTCGTGTGTTGGGATGTTTAATATATATCATGAATTGTACTCGACCAGATATAGCTTGTGCTATAAGTAAATTGAGTCGATACACAAGTAATCCAGGTCAATCTCATTGGATGAAAATGAAACGAGTTCTGGGATATTAAAAACATAAACAAGACTTTGCTTTGCACTACAATAATTATCCTGCGGTGATTAAGGGATATTGTGATACAAATTGGATCACCGGTTTAACTGATTCTAAATCTACAAGTGGATATGTATTCACTATTGGTGGAGGAGAAGTATATTGAAAGTCGTCCAAACAAACTTGTATTGCCCGCTCTATAATGGAGGCTTAGTTCATAGCCTTAGATAAAGCCGGTGAAGAAGCTGAATGGCTCCGAAATTTCTTGTAAGATATTTCATTTTGGACCAAACTGTTGGCACCAATATGAATACATTGCGATAATCAAACGGCAATTGAAAGGACTGAGAGCGTTATGTATAACGGTAAATCTCGTCATATACGACGAAGACATAAAACCATTAGACAGTTACTCTCTAGGGGATTATCACAATTGACTATGTAAAGTCACGCGATAATGTGTCTGAGGGAAATGGGACTATGGCCAAAGATAAGTCATTGTGGAGATAACTCTACCTAGAAGATTGGAGATCCCACGATCTCGTGATGAGACAATGTTTAGTACCAGGGATAAAACATTAAGGGTTTTTAATAGTTTCTAAATTTGATATGGGGTATATCAAAGAGTGTATCTACGGGATGACATATTTAGTAATCACCTATGTAAGTGTGAAGTGTTAGCCGCTTCAAGGAGAATTTTGCAAGGCCAATTCTCTACGCACTTATGAAACCATGTGATGTTCATGGCTGAAACGAACACAACAATGAGAACCAAAGACAGTTAAGGGTTGATTGTGTGACTTATGGTTGTCTAGGTATACACCAAAATTCGACGGTTCAAAGATATCAAATCTACCGATTGACCGAGTATACCCGACATAAGTTCACTACGGAAAGTTCAAAGGGAAACCTACTTATCCAGATGCGATAAGTCCTTGCTTGTAAATCACATAGTTTTTCATGAATATTTTCATGATATAGACATTGCCCATTCATGTGGGTGATTTTTGGGTTTAAGCTTGTTAGAGCTCAAAATAAAGTGAATGGAAAATGGAGAAAAAATAAAAAATTTGAATTTTCCTCTTTGACAAAAGGGACATTGTCTCATATTGGAGGAGGAAAAGAGTTTTGATGAGTATATATACAATTGTATTTCTTCTAACTCATAAAGAGTTGAGAAGAATGCAAGCCTCTCACCATCGTTATCATCGCTCGCTCAGCTCAGCTTCGGCGTTGGTTTCGGATTTGGATTTGGATTTGGTCAAATAATCTGATTGATTGATTAATTTCTTAGACCAAATTTATTTGTTAATATAACGCAATATTATTTATTCCAAATTAGTCATTTCTATAACGGTAATATTTAATTTTTCCTCCGTTTTAATTTAAATCTGGCGATTTGCATAAACAACCACTTTGAGTTGCAACCTTAAAATAAAGAGTTGCAACTATTCGGTAAACTCAACTTTTTGGCTATAAATACATGAACTTCCCACAGATTTTTCTTACAAAAATTCCGATTTCTCCTCTTTCCTTCTGCATTATTTTTAACAGAAAAAAAACTGTAAGTGAGATTTTCTACCGATCTTTAAGTTCGTTGGTCACTGAGGTTTGAAGTACTGCTACACCAGTAAGGGTAATCCGTTCTATCTTGGGAGAAAATAATCCTAAACCTCGGGTACTAGGAGGGGATTAAGTTCCTTAAGGAAATACTGTGAATTAAGTGAGTTCGAATTAATTTTTGTTCTTCTACATTTTTGGTTTTTACGTTGCTTCTGATTTTTGAATATATTTTTAAATACAAATTACTAACAAGTTCTTCCTTACAGAACTGATGGCCCAGCTCAGGTGTTCCCAATTGTTAACCACATAAAATTGTCTATGTAGCTATTGTAGTATTATGTTCCATTAATTCCCAGTGAAAACACACTAAGCAAATACATGATCTCTAGACTCAGGTTATTGTAGACTTAAAGGGAAACATGTATCTACAGGCAGTCCCCATTTGGCAAGTCTGTCTGTGGTCAATAGCTTTCCTTGCAACTCTAGTCACATAGTGAATCTTGCTTTTGGCCTGGGAGCTTTCTTATATACTAAATTCTTCCAAGGCACTCGGGGGAGGTGAGGTAGAAATTGTATGTATATTTCTCTAATAAGACCTTTCTTGCTTCCACTGGTGAGTTGAATTTGCTCCATAACTTCTCTAGCCTCCATTATTTTCCTAATAATCCAACATGTTTGCCGAGATATTATTGCAGCAGTAAGGTATTGGTCTTTGATGTAATAAGCATGCAGAAGCGGATCTGCCTAACAAATGGTGGTGCCGGTGACCCCATGCTAATCCCACAAAATTTGATTTATTATATAGATAATTAATTTAATATCTATAAAAATATTTGCTGACCCCCATGATAAAAAATGGGTCAAAGGTGCACTAGTTGGGCCTTTTCTTTGTTTCCTTACTGTCAACTAGTAAAATGTCAATTTTTGTACTTAATTATTATTTTTTCTCCTCTCTTTTATTTTTTTTGCACGGTGGCAGCAGTATTATTTCTTTTAAGCAAGTTTTTTAATCCCAAATATTCAATATTCCCCCCAAATCACAATCCCAATTCCAATCCCAATTCACGCCAAAACCCCAAAAGTCAATTGTGTCTCCCTCTTCCTCCCTCCCTCTCTCTTAATCTAGTTCTAAACCACAAATCACCGGATCCTCTTTCTTCTCTCGATTCACTTCGCTATAATCTCGCAATTCCAGAATGGTATTTTAGAATCTCTGTTATCAGTGATTCTTCAATCTTATTTGCTCTCTTTCTCAAGGATTTTCCAAGTTTTTTTTACTCCTTAAGCAGGTATATTTTTTATTTCTTATTTTGTTGTTAATCTTAGTTATTTTATTTGCTTTCATCTTTATAATTTTTTTCTATTTTCCTCATTTTTTGCTTCATTGTTCATCTAATTTTTGGAATCCTATTAACCTGCAGTGTACTATTTTTTTTTGTGTGTCATTTGACAGATTACATTGTGAAACACTGAAACTCGCTTCCAAAGTTCGAAACTTGGGCAGAGTCACAGAGACATTAAGTTGATTAAGATAAACTATTATAAATTTTGCGGACGAACTGGTATGGTTTCATTTTATATTATTGTAAGTTAGAAGGGGTGTGATTCCCCTACTATATTGTGAATTTGTAAGTGTTCGTGATTCGTGATCCTCTTATATTTAAATGCGAAAGGGGTGTGAATGTGTGATTCCCTTATTGAATAATGAAATCTAAAGGGGTGTGATTTCCCTTTTCGTGAATTGTTATGATTAAGAGTGATTTCAATTTATAAAATGGATATGGTCTAAGATTGAATAAATGCGAGTATTTAATTTTATAGGAATAATTTTTCCGAACATCAAAATGGATAGATACTTGATCAAGTTAAACAATGGCCAACCAAGTTCTAGTTCGTGTCAACCATCTGCTAATTAACAAATAGATCCAGAAGATCAAAGAGAAGCAATTCCTTCCCCTCCTTCAAATGTTAATAGTGTTCTTAGGTTGGGATCTCTTGAAACTGATCCTAAAGAAAGAATACCCACTTCTCAGTATAGTCCTAACATTCGAGATGAAGTGAGAAGATATTTTATTCAAAGAGGGCCTTATCAACCGATTGGTCATGACTTCCCTAAAACTAAGTTTGGGAACAAAATGCATCAATTCAATCCCGATTGGTTTAAAGGTTCATATTCTCAATGGTTGGAGTATAGCATAAAAGTAGATATTATATTTTATTTGTGTTGCTGTTTATTCAAGAATGAACTTGAGAGTCGTGGACATGTCGGGGATGCTTTTACAAAAGATGACTTTAGGGGTTGGAATAAAGGTTCAGAAAGATATAGAGCACATGTCGGTGAAGTATATAGTATTCATCATAAATGTTTCAATAGAATGCAAGATTTGACGAATCAACGCCAATCAATTCAATCGTCTTTTGACAGACAAAGCAAGAAAGTAAAAAATGATCATCGAATGCGCTTAAATGCCTCAATTGATGTAGTGAGGTTTCTCTTAAGAAATGGATTGCCATTTCGTGGTCATGATAAGAGTAAAGATTCCGAATACAAAGGTATTTTTCTTGAACTTTTGGAATTTCATGGAGATAAGCATCCGAATGTGGGAAAAGTGATATTACGTCATGCTCCAAAAAATAATATGATGATTTTTCCAACTATTCAAAAGGAGATTGTGGATGCTTGTGCTAAAGAAACCACTAAAGCTATTATCAAAGATTTAGATGGTGATTATTTTGGAATATTGGTTGATGAATCAAAGGACATCTCACATAAGGAGCAAATGGCCCTAGTTTTACGATATGTCAACAAAAATGGGGAGGTGATAGAAAGATATTTGGGCATTGTCCATGTGAAAGATATATATGCACAATCACTGAAGGATGCAATTTATTTTTTACTTTTGGATAACTCATTAAGTTCATCCAAGATACGTGGACAGGGTTATGATGGAGCAAGTAATATGAAGGAAAAAATAAATGGTCTAAAGACTTTAATTTTGCAAGATTCTCCATCTGCATATTATATTCACTGTTTTGCTCATCAATTACAATTAACACTTGTAGCTCTTTCTAAAAAGTATTGGAAGTGAATAATTTCTTTGATGTTGTCACTAATTTGTTGAATACTATTGGAACATCTTTTAAATGCAGGAAATTTCTTCGACAACACCAAGTAGAGAAGTTGGAAGAATTACTTAAAAATAAAGAAGTTTATACCAGGCAAGGATTGAATCAAGAACGTGGCCTCCAACGATCGGGTGATACTCGTTGGGGGTCTCATTTTAAGACCTTGGAAAATTTGATGATTATATTTGCTTCAATTTTTAATGTGTTGAAAGATATGCAACATGATTGTCTACTTTCTCTTGATAGATTTGCAGCAAAGAATCTTTTGGATAATATTCAATAATTTGAATTTGTGTTTATGTTGCACTTGATGTTCAAGATGTTTCTTCTTACAAATGAATTGAATAAAGCTCTACAAAAAAAAGATCAAGATATTGTCAATGTTATGAGGTTACTTGACCTTGCAAAGACAAGATTGCAAACAATGAGAGAAAGTGAATTGGAGTCTTTGATGGACGAGGTTTACTCATTTTGTGGTAAACATAGTATTTTAATTCCAAAAATGGATGAAAACTATCCAAGGTCAAAGCGTAAGAGGTCAGATGTTTCATATTCACATCACTTTCGTGTGGAAGTATTTTATGCTATTATTGATTTCCAACTTCTAGAGCTCAATTATCATTTTGATGTAGTGACTAGTGACTTACTCCTTGGCATGGCTTGTTTGAATCTGGTTGATTCATTTGCTAATTTTGACAAAGATAGAATAATGAAGTTGGCCGAGTGTTATCCAAGTGAGTTTGGTGATAGGGAGCTTCGGGATCTCAGTTACCAGCTTAATCGTTTCATTGTCTATGCTCGAAAGTGTGATAGTGTGTTTCTCAATTTGAAAGGAATTAAGGATCTTGCTATAGTGATGGCCAAAACAAAATTGTATCAAACTTGGTGTCTTGTGTATTTACTTGTGAAGCTGACGTTGATTTTACCTGTTGCTACGGCAAGCGTGGAAAGGGCATTCTCCTCAATGAAGCTCATAAAGAATGATCTACGTAATAGCATTGGTGATGAATTTTTGAATGGTTATTTAGTTTACAATATAGAGCGTAATGTATTTGCAACTATAAGTAATGATACTATTATGGATCGGTTTCAAAATATGAAAGCTCGTCGAGTACAAATGTAAATTGATGACGTAGTTTTGAGATAATAGAATTGGATAATTTTTGCTAGTCAAGTTGTTGTTTTTGTAAAATTTTATATCATGAAACTAAATGTTTATCTTTGAAGTAATGGTGCACCCATCTTCTCGAATTCCTGAATTCGCCTATATAAGCATGGATCTACTTGACCCATAGATTATCTTGTTTATGCTCTAAATTTCAGCAAGTTTTAGCAATAGCAGCACTATTCCATACTATCAAATTTATAAGGTTTAAACCACCTACTAATTTAGAAGTACAAACCTTATCCTAGGAAACCAATGTTTTCCTTGTAATTATGTTGGCCCCTGACTATATAAAGCTACTGCAATAAGCATTTATAAGCTTTAATACCATAGCAGGTATTAAGAACAGTTGAGCCCAATATGTTTGCACTCCAAATAATACAGATTGTACTAGTTGCATTCTGCCGGCATAGGACAACTTTTTAGCAGTCCATGAAGTGATTCTGGCTACTATTTTCTGGAACAGTGATTGCCATTGGACGAGGGATATTTTATTGGTACATAAGGGCACTCCAATGAATTTGAAGGGGAGTTCACCAAAAGTAAAGCCAAGCTGCTTCGGTATTCTATCTTTTTCACATTGCGATACCTCTCCAAAGTAGACAGACATTTTCCCATGTTTGCCTGCAGGCCTGATACTGCAAAGAAATGGATAAAGCATTTTTGCGGTGCTGCTACTGAAGATACACCACCTTTGGCAAACAATAGGAGGTCATTTGCTAACCTCAAGTAGGTAATTCTCAATCTTGCACATCTAGTGTGGTATTTGTATGCGTAGTTGCTTTCCAGTTCATTGAGGCTCCTACTCAAATATTTCATGGCTATTGCAAATAAGAAGGTGACTGTCAGGACCCAAATCCCATCATATGGGCCGTGATGGCACTAGTATCTAAAATTAGGCAGGTTGATCACTTAGCAATATTTAAATTAATAAAACATGATATAATAAAATAGAGTTTAACATAATTGTGAAAATAGAGGTAATACAAGCCAAAGCGGCGATAATCAAAATATCTTCCCAGAACTAGGTAGTACAGAGTCACGAGCTCTAATTGAATACATAAAAATATATCAAATATACAATACTGTTTGGATAAAAATAACAATATAAATATAAGGATAGGACTCCAAGGGACTGCTACGGTTAATGCAGCTCTACCTTAAATCCTCACAATCAAAGAAGCTCTCACTGTTTGGGTTCGCTACCTCCAACAACTGGATATGCACAAAAATATGAGAAGTTTAGTATGAGTAACCACTGTCGATATCTAGTAAGTATCAAGACTAACCTCGGTGAAGTAGTGACAGGGTTTAACTCATGTGGTACTCACTAGTCAAAAACCTGTGCAATATATCAATACTAGCAACATAATATATAAGAAAAACAGTATCAACCACCTCGTAGAACATGTGATGCCAACTCAATGTACAAATCTCATTTTAGTCATCAAATCATCAAAGAAGTGGGGCATGTAATAGCATGTCAAATTCAACTAACAACTCATTAAAATACAAGACGGAAGCTTTTAAAAAACCTGTAAGAAATCAAAATATCAATCTAGTTTCAACATATAAACATATCAAGAAAAACTTTCGAATCATCACACAACAACATCAATAATTCCATCCTTATTTTGCCGCATGCACATAATAATTAAATACCTCCCTTATTTCGTTGCATGCCCATATTGCCACCCTTATTTCGATGGTGAAATGCCACCCTTATACTTCATACAACAACAATAGTGAAATGCGACCCTTACTCCATACAACAATAATAGTGAAATACCACCCTTATACTCCACACAACAACAATCAACCCACACAACATGTCCACATATGCCACAATAACATAAAACAACAATACCAAAATTTCATCAAAGTAAAATCTTACAACTTATCAACAAAATGCACAAGGACATGACAATAGCATAAAAGTACGGAGGGCTGTTTAACAAATAAAGCATGATAATGGCTAAGTCAAATGTAGAGATCATGATCATGTAGTCACAAAGTGGTTTAAGCATGTTTCATATAAAGTACTTTATTAAATTAAGGCATATTAATAGCTTACTGTCTCATCCGATCATAAACCACATATAGCACCCGTGTACACACTCGTCACCTCATGTACACGTCGCTTTTCACATAACACAATAAGCAATTAAGGCTAAATCCTAAGGGGTATTCCTCAACATAAGATTAGGCAAGATACTTACCTTAATTAAGCCAAATCAATACTCTAAAAAGTCCTTGCCTCTCGAATCAGCCTCCGAATGGGTCAAATCTAGCAAAACATAACTCAATAATATCAAACACGATTATATAATTCGATTCCAATTAATAAAGCTCTAATCTTTATCAAAAATCAAAAAGTCAACCGGGGATCACTTCCCGAAATCCGACAAAAGTCATAAATTCTGAACACCTATTCGTATAGGAGTTCAACCATGCAAATTTCATCAAAATTCGACTCTGAATAAGTGTTCAAATTTTCATTATTCTGGAAAAGGTTTGCTAAAATTCATAATTTTCTTCACTTAGATTCAGCATTCAAATGCTAAAATTAAGGATGGAATCATGAATAATAATCAAATCCGGATAAAAAAATACTTACTTCAATCCAAATCGTGAAAATTTCATCAAAAGCCCAAATCCGAGCTTCCAATCTCAAAATATGATAAACCAACTCAAACCCTCAAAATAGAATATTTAAGTCTGCAAGGGGTCCCCTTCGCGATCGCGATTCACCAGCGCCTAAGCCAACGTGACACACTTTCGCGAACAAAAAGGCTAAGCCACCTGACATCTCCAGCCAGACACAGACTATACGCGATCGCGACACACAAATGCGAACGCGAAGCTTCAGCTCCCCACAAGCCACGATCGCGACCTCACCTTCGCGGATGCGAAGAACAAATAAGCCAACCACAAAACACTCTATGCGATCACAATAGACATTTCGCAATGAACACAAGAAAACCAACAACTCCAAACACGAGAGAAATGATCTGAAACCCATCCGAAAAATACTTGAGCCCCCGAAACCCCGTCCAATCACATCAATCAATTTTAAAATATAACACGGACCTACTCGAAGCCTCAAATCACACAAAATAACATCAAAATCATGAATCACACTTCAATTCAAACTTAATAAACTAATCCAAATTTTTGAATTCCAAACTTACGTCGAACATGTCTAAACAACTCGGAATGATCTGAAATTTTACACACAAGTCATAAATCATCATACGAACATATTCCAAGACTCGAAATCACAAACGGACATCCATAAGCATAAAGTCAACTATGGGTTAAACCTATAAACTTCTAAATCTTCAATTTACCAACTTTCGTCAATTAGAGCCAAATCAACCTAGGAACCTCCAAATTCAAATTCGTACATACACCTAAGTCCAAAATTACCATCCCGACCTAACGAAACTATCAAACCTCCGATCCGAGGTCAAATACATAGAAGTCAAACTTAGTCAATACTTGTAAACTTAAGCTTCTAAGCTAGGAAGTAAGTGTTCCAATTCAATCCAAAACCTTCTTATAACTAAAACAACCATCCATGCAAGTCACATAACAACAAATACATACATGGAGCATCAAATAGAGGAATGAGGCTCAAATGCCCAAAACGACCAGCTGGGTCGTTACAGGGACATTCTGTCATCCTATCTTAGTCCCTCACTTATAATCAAAAATTATTTTTCTTACAACTATCTTAACTTTTAAATTCATCATACTTATTTAACTGGTACTTAGATGTTATTATTAATCTTTAAGCCTAAAAATGTCATCAAAGAGATCTTTGGATTTTTATAATAATAATAATAATTATTATTATTATTGAAAAATAGCTTCATTGTCCAACTAAGTTCCAAGAAATAATTTTATTTTCTACAAATAGTAACTTCCATCATATCAAACACACTCGTATACATAATTCTCAATGGATGATGATACTATTTTTTGATGACCCGATAGGTCGTTTTGAGTACTAACCTTTATTTTCATATTTTGAAACCTCCATTAGCTTCATTTGATACTTCTTGATTTGTGTGCATGGTCCATGTCTTTTTTTGAAATGTTTGTACTTCAAATTTTGAAAAAGTGGTTTTTGACTTAAAATGATATTTGAGTTAACCACAGTCAACATTCTTGGTAAACGATCTCAGATCGGTATTTTGATATTTTCGGTAGGTTGGTATAATACTTTTGGAATTGTACACACTTTTGTTTGGGGTATGGAGTGACCCAAGCACATTTTGGCGCGTTATGTAAAGAATTATGAAAATAATCTTTCAAGTTGAAATCTTGAGTTTTGATGATCAATTCCTATTAGTTGATATTATTTTGATGATTTGAGGTAGCGAGAAAGTTTATATAATGTTAGTATACTTCTGTCCATGTTTGGTTTGGTGTCTGAGGGGCTCGAGTGAGTTTCAGAGGTGCTACAGATGAGTTTTGGATGACTTTAGTTAGTTGTGTACTTCTGTTTCTGATGTTGATTTGTAGATCTCACATTTGCGATGCCTGGCTCGCAAATACGAGCCTCGCTTTTGCGACCAAGACATCGAATTTGTGAGCAAGGTCCTACGCTGGGTGATCTCGCAATTGCGAGGAAAGGGTTTGCATTTGCGAACTAGCTGAGAGCGCATTTGAGATCTTAGAGTTGCATTTGCAACACAGTGTCCCGATGGGTGAGCTTCTCATTTGTGAAGTAGTTATCCACATTTACGAGGGGGGCTGTTCGTATTTGCGATAAATGGGTCGCATTTGCGACTTCTGGACTTCTGACACGATGATCGCATTTTACGATCCGTGCTTTGTATTTACGGTGGTCGCAACCTGCAGCTAGGTAAAAAGGAAAAAAATGGAACTTAGCTCATTTTACACCATTTCTCAATCCTAAACACTCTAGAGGCGATTTTTGAAGAACACTTTCTACCCAAATTCATTGGTAAGCAAGTCTAATCCACTTTCTTTCAATTATCCATTACTTTTCATGAATTTTTAACATTAAATCTAGGATTTTCATGGTAGAAATTAGGAATTTGGGGTAGAATTTGGGAATATTGTGAAATTGAGATTTAGACCTCAAATTGATGTCGGATTTCAAAATAAATCACATAATCAAGCTCGGGGTGAATGGATAATCGGATTTTAATCCGAATCTCGGGTTTTGACCAAGCGGGCCCGGAATTAACTTTTATTGATATTTTCGATTTCATTAAAGATCGAATATTTTTCACTCGTGAGTAGTTTTTAAAGTTTATTATGAATGTTTTGGACTATATTTGGCTAGAATTGATTAGTTTGAAGGTTAATTCTAAAGAAAAGGTCGTGGTAGAGCATTGATTTGGCTGCGGAGTGAGGTAAGTGTCGCGGTTAACCTTGACTTGAGAAAATTAGGACTTGATTAGTTTAATTGCTACTTAATTTATGTGTTGGGATGGCGTATATGCAAGATGATGAGTGTATGTACATAGTCACAGGTCAAGCATGCGGATTGGGATATTTATTGTTGTTTTCAATTATTTCTTGCCTTCATTTAATCCATGTTATTAATTGTTAAATGCTTTATTTGTTATTTGCAATTACTTGTTGAATTCATGCATTTATCCGTGCATGTCTTAATTGTTAATTAATTCTTTGTATCCGTATCTTTGTTTATTAACTGCCATTACATACTATTTGATTTTATGTGTTATTATATAA